CCACCCCGAGTTTCGGGGTCAAATAGAGCCTGGCATTCAAGGCTTTTACCCTGCGCCAGGCTACATCTTTTGCTATCCACTTCCACACACGAGGGGCAGGTCTAGGATTCCGGCGGGGCCCCCTGTTCCCTTTCCTGGAAACACCCACTGCCCTGAGTCAGCAATCAGAAGGCCAGAAAGTGAAGAATGGGAATTGGATTTACTCAGACCTAGCAATGGACAGTTGGGCAGGTGGTCCGGGGGCCAAATGGACCCCTAGAATCCTGGTACATGCCCACCCTTCCCAGGGCCAGAGACAGAGAGGTGGGGTCTTAACCTCTCTGGAGTGTTTGTCCCAGGATCACAGGTCTCCTGGCCTTGTCCTCCTCACCTTTCTGCCCTCATTCGGTATGATCCAACCAATTATTACGCCATTCAGTTCTCAAAGATTTATTGAGAGCACCTGCTAAGAGCCCTGCACTGTCTGAATAAGACTGGTCAAGGGTACAGTCCTTTAATTTACAATCTGCTTGGTGGAAACATACAACAGGCAAATACATAAATAAGATAATTGCTGGCTGTGAAAAGTGCTGTGAAGGAAGTAAACAGAAGAGTAACCAAAGAGCCTACTTTAGAAAGAATAACCAGGAAAGTCAACAAATATTTTTTAAAAATATATTCATATATTTCATGTGCAATTTTTTAAATTTTATTTATTTTTAAATGTATCTTTATTGATTTCAGAGAGAGGAAGGGAGAAAGAGAGAGTTGAAATATAAATGATTAGAGAGTCGTCATTGGCTGTGAGCCCGCAACCCGGGGATATGCCCTGACCTGGAATCGAACTGCGATCTCCTGGATCCTAGGTTGATGCTCAACCACTGAGCCACACCTGGCCGGGCCAACAAATATTTTTGAGTACCCAACTCATGTCAGTTTTATCTCTCAAATACCTCTGAGATCTGTCCACTCCTTCTTTCCTCCACACCCTAATCTGGGTCACAGTCTCCCTGGTTGGGACTCTTGCTACAACACCTTGCTGGTGCCCCTTCTTTAGTCTCATCTCCTTTTCACCCTCCCTCCACATAGCCATCCCACCCAACCCCTCCTCAGGCTTCAGGGGGCCTTCCCAGCTACTGAAGGGAGACCAAGACAGCCTGAGGCATAGAGAAACACTAGTAGCTCAGATGAGGGGCACTGGGCGATGGGGTTTTCTAGGAGTCACTGGTGAGTCCTTGCATCTGCCCTCCTACACTAACTACTCTGTGTCTGCATGTCTCTTTTACTAGTGCCCTTTCTCCTCCCCCAAAGTCTCTCACAACCTCTGCCCATACTGAGGTTTTTCTGAGCTCTCTGGATCTCCATCCCCCAGAGGATGGATGTTGATAGGCCCGCTGCCCCTAGTGAGTACATGTCCACACTCCGTGCCCACTTGGCAACTCAGAGTCAAGAATCTCTTGGGGGAAAATTTTTTTCAATACAAAAAAAAAAAAATCTCTTGAATGCTCACTTTGGCAGCACATATACTAAAATTGGAACAATACAGAGAAGATGAGCATGGCTCCTGTGCCAGAATGACATGCAAATTCGTGAAGTGTTTCATATTAAAAAAAAAAAAAAAGAATCTCTTGACAGAATCAGGTCACAGAAGCTAAGGGAGTCTTACGAAAATGAGAGATGTCAAATAAGTCTGGGACTCAGGAGGGAGGGCCTATTGGATTCAGCCATAAAGAGATCTCAGGTGGTCCTTGGTTGGTGCAGAGGTGGACGTGCTAACGCCGGACCAGAGAAAAGAGAGATGCTGATAGCTAGTGTAGTAGTTCAGGGTGGAGTATGGGTTTGCAAATTTGACCAGGCTGGCTCCAGACTACATGCTGTAAACTGCCAAGCCATTAAATCCAGCTCTTCGCTGTAAGGAGGGGAGAGGGGCACTGGTGGTTGGGATCAGAAAAAGGTAGCCAGGCAGGAGGAGAGGCTAGAGCTAGAGGATGATAAAAAAGGGTGGGCCAGGTGATTTAGGGTGGAGTGGTTCCCTCTCCTGGACCATAAATCAAAGGGACCCGTCAGCAGCTGGGAAGGGAGATAAGCAAACTCAGGAGGGAGGGGCTGGATGGGGCCTGGGGACCAACCCCTTCCTCTGGCAGAGGCTTCAGGTCCTTTCCCCTGTTGGTGGCTCTGTGGGAAATTCACAGTCCAGTGATCCAGAGTTGGTAACAAGAAGTGTGAGAGCCACAGAGGGGCATGGGGGTGGAGGACTGAAATGCAGCCAACTGGGTTACCCTCAAGGATTGAAGTCAGAGAGAAGCCCCCAGGACTTCAGGGCCTGAGCTCCTCCAGTCCCAGAGGAGCCAGGTACAAGAAACTCTTTAAATGGTAAGCAGTTCAGAATGCTCCAGGAACCACAGATCAAAGCTTGGGAAAGGGCTACATGGCCATGATGGCCAGAGGCCCCAGAGCTGGTATCGCATCTTCCCCTGGTCAGGTCCTGGGTCTTCTAGGCTTCTGAGATAGGAACATACACACACACACACACACACACACACACACACACACACACACCTGTCCTGTTCTCTCCTCATATTGACATCTCACCAGGCCCTGGAAGGAGAATAGAACTCCTCAGGCCATGAGTAGGTTTCTAGACCTTACTCATCCAAAAAATTGTTAATGAAAAAGAGGGAAGTGAACCAGATGTCTTTCAGGTTAAAAGGGATGCCTGGCCAGGCGTGGCTCAGCGGTTGAGCGTCGACCTAGGATCCTAACGACTGGGGTTCGATTCCAGGTCAGGGCACATGCCTGGGTTGCTGGCTGCAGCTGATCAATGACTCTCTCGTCATTGATGTTTCTATCTCTCTCTCTCTCCCTCTCCTTTCCTCTCTCTGAAGTCAATAAAGACATATTTAAAAAAAAAAAAAAAAAAAGACACAAACTAGAAAAAAGAAAGGAAAAGCCTGCCTGAGTTCAAATCCTCTCCAGCTTTACCAAGATGAATCAGGTCCAGTCCTGTTCTCGAGGGTCTCATGGGCTGGAGTGGATATCTCCCTGTAGACAGATCACAAACTAATAGGATGACCTGCTGCGAGAGGAGAGGGGAAACCTAGAGGGTTTTGAGAAGTGACCCATGGGAAGATCATGGCAGACTTCCCAGAGGGTGCTCTGAGCTGGATGGTGAAGGAACAGTGAAAAGGAGCTGGGTAGAGGCTGGTGATGGGGGGGTAAAGATGAGATGGGGGTATCTCAGAGGGCCTTGTGTATCCAGGTTAAAGGCCAGGCCCTGGCACTGTTTGGCTTGGGGGCAGGCTGGTGGGACATCAGGGGAAAGTTCTGAATCTTCATCTCTGAAGGCTTGCCTGGTTCTGGGATGTAACAGTGAACCAGTAGGTGGAAACCAAAGGGAACAGATATGGCTTTTCATGATAATAGCAGCTCAAGCTAAATGCCTGCAGTGCTCCAGGCTCTGTCTGGGCATCATTTCTTTGAATAGTCCCAGTTGTCCTGTGAGGAAGGTCTTATTGATCCTGTTTTGCAGAGGAGGAAACTGAGATTCAGAGAGGTTAGGTAACTTGTACAAGGTTACAGAGAGCTAGAATTTAAACCCAGGTTTCTCTGACTCCCAAGCTTGGGCTCTCGCTTCCGTGCTTCCTCTTTAGGAAACATCTGTGCGAGGGAACCAGATCACAGTGTAGGAGAAGGAGCTCCCCAAGACAGATCAGAAGTGGGACCACCACTCCTGGGTTTCTGTGGGTGACCTTGGCACTGGGTGGACAATTATCTGGTGTCTCGGGTATTATTTCCTCTGCTTGAGAGATGAAGAAATTGAAGCCCAGAAGTGGAAATACCACTCAAGATCCTGGGCACCCCTAGGAGTCAGGATGCTGGACATGGCTGAAGGAGTCTGAATCTCTAGGGCTGAGTCCCAGATCTGTGGTCTCATCAGCCCTGTGGAATGGGAATGGGGAAGGGCCAGGCCAGCCACCCTGCCTCACCAGAGCCTGGGTTAGAAGCCTGGCAGTGTGGCTGGTGACAGGACCCTGGTCCCAGGATGGAAGCCCTTGTTTAGGCCCAGATGGGCCAATTCCAGCCTTTGAAATCCATCAAGTCCAAAACGTCCCAGCTGTATGATCCTGGGCAAGTCATTTGCTTCTTGGAGCCTCATCTGTGAAATGAGAATGATTCCTACCTCCTGGGGTTGCAATGAGGTTTCTATGAGAGAATGATGTAGATGGGCCTATGGCACAGTGCCTGTCAGTCAGTGCTCTGGGATCAGCAGCTGTTATAATTGTAGCAACTTGTCATTCATCTATTTTCTCACCTCGACCAGCTTGGGACAGTAATCCCTGTCATCCTGACTTCAAGGACATAGTGTCATCTGTGTGAGCTATGGGGTCAGTGCTGATGGCAATTCTGCCACTCAAAGGGCAGCCCAGCCCTGCATTGGTAGGGAAACATATCTAGTTCCCAGGGCCAGGAGACGCTGGGTGACAGCCTCAATCCATCAATGATAACCTTGGTCCAGTCAAACTTAATGGCCCAGGAGATACTTAAGTGTGTGTGGGGTGAAGGCTACCCCAGTTCTCCTTCCTCAATGCAGGCTGCTGCCCAGAGCAGGTAGGCAGGCGTGGGTGGGGATAAGAATGCTTTGGGCCTCAGGAGTCCAGGTATCAGCTTCAAGAGCAAGACCCCAAGGGATAGTGGTGGGTCTGGGCTAGAGTTGAATCTCCTGTCTTTAGTGGTTCAAGATCTGATTATTCCTAGGCCTGCAAGTACAAGAGGAGCCTGGGGAAGCCTCATGTATGAGAGGGCCTATATCTCACCTCTTCCTTGTCCCATCCCACCCTGGCATGACCCCTGCAACCCTGAGTTCTGGAGGGAACTCAGAACTGCTCTGCATCTCCCTCCCACCTTGTCTACTTGGGTGAAGGCTGGGGTGTGTATGTCCAGAGTTGAAGGGAGGTTGCCTGGGGAATTAAGCTTGGTGATGAGAAGGCAAGCTAAGGAGAAGGCTTTCTGGGGGAAAGGGACAGCTCTGGAGACAGCTCTTGTGACCTCCTACCCTAGGCCCCCAGCACCATGACGGTTTCATACACTCTCAAAGTGGCGGAGGCCCGCTTCGGAGGCTTCTCTGGGCTGCTTCTCCGTTGGAGGGGAAGCATCTACAAGCTCCTGTACAAGGAGTTTCTACTCTTCACTGTCCTGTATGCTTTGCTCAGCATCACCTACCGGTGCGAGGGTAAGGTCTCAGGGCTGGTCTTGGGGGACGAGGCTGCCCACCTCCCTCTAACCCAGGCCTACCCCGCACCTTCTCCAGGCTGCTGCTGACTCAGGAGCAGAGGCATGTGTATGCTCAGGTGGCCCGATACTGCAACCGCTCTGCAGATCTCATCCCCTTGTCCTTTGTCCTAGGTAAGGCTCCCTCTAGTTCTCCCTGGTATCCTCCTGTCTTCCCTGACCTTTGGGCTGGTTGATAGTTCTGAGGGTCAGAAGTTACCCCAGCAGCGCAGCCTGGAGATCAACCAGAGAGGGCTCAGTGGGCATGGGAGCTGCGTGCGGGGTCCAGGGTTTCCAGAGTGCTAGGCCCTGCCTATCACTTGGTGGATCCTCACTCCAAACAAACCCAAGCCACTTGCTGACTGGCATCACCAACCTCTGGGTACTGGAGGGGAGCTGGAGAGAGATGACACCCCATTCCCACCTAAGCAGGGGTCAGAGTTAACCATTACCTGGCCTTGAACCACCACTTCTCTGCCTGAGGAGGGTTGCCCTCCTTCCTCCCAGCTTGGTCTAGCACATCAGGTTGGGACCAGAGGAAGAGGTTGTCCTACTGACAGTGAGGCAGGGCATCGGAGCCAAATGCAACCTTCCCTCTGCCTTGGTTCAACATGGCCTGGATCAGGCACTCTGGCTGAGGGGCAGGACACGCTGACTCCCAGGCCTTTCGTCTTTCCATCCCATCCCTGCTACCCTTGGTGGCAACCAGGTTTCTACGTGACCTTGGTGGTGAACCGCTGGTGGGCCCAGTACACAAGCATCCCGCTGCCGGACCAGCTGATGTGTGTCATCTCGGCCAGCGTGCATGGCCTGGACCAGCACGGCCGCCTGCTGCGCCGCACCCTTGTCCGCTATGCCAACCTGGCGTCAGTGCTAGTGCTGCGCTGCGTCAGCACCCGGGTGCTCAAGCGCTTCCCCACCATGGAGCACGTGGTGGATGCAGGTGCCTCATGTGCCTCCTGGGAGGGGAGGTCTGACCCCCAGGGGGAGCTCCAGGGCCCCAGGATCACAGCTTTTAGAGGCAGAGTCTGTGCTCCACCCACTTTATCTCGGCAGGTTTCATGTCTCAGGAAGAAAGGAAAAAGTTTGAGAGCCTGAAATCTGACTTCAACAAATACTGGGTCCCCTGTGTCTGGTTCACCAACCTGGCAGCCCAGGCACGAAGGGATGGGCAAATCCATGATGACATTGCTCTCTGCCTGCTCCTGGAAGTGAGTCAGACTAGGGCCAGGCCCATCTGCTGTCTTTCCCCTAGCTTTGCAAACTGGAATAATAATTTTAGCACTTAACACTTATATTGTGCCAACTATATACTGCACATTGTTGGAAGCACTGTACTTACATTAATTCATTTAAACCTCACAATCCTTGAGATAGTTACTATCATTACCGCCCCCCTTTCACAGATGAGAAAACTGAGGCACAGAGTGGAAAAGAAATTTACCCAAGTCACCCAACTAACTAGAAAAGCTGGGCTTCATACTCAGACATTCTGGCTCCAGGTTCTGTGCTTACAATTACTTTGCTAAATTGCTTCCCATCACAAGCACCCCAGCCTGAAAACACCTCAGAACAAAATGAGCCTCCCGACCTGGCCCAGGCCTAGTTTGTGCTGGGCTCCCCTCTTCTCTCCCTGTTCTTCATTCCTCACCCTCACTGACTTCCTCTTCCCGCTGTCCCACCAGGAGCTGAACAAGTACCGAGCCAAGTGCAGCATGCTGTTTCACTATGACTGGATCAGCATCCCTCTCGTCTACACCCAAGTAACTGCCTCTCACCTGCCAATCCCAGTGCCTACTGTATGTCCTGTGCTATGCGTGAGACACTGAGAGGAATTAGAGATAGTACCTGCCCTGGGGTAGTTCAGTCTAGTGAGACACTGAACAGCTAAGGGCTCATCCTCGAAGCCCCGCTGGACACCCCCTAAGATGAGCACATCCTCTCTGGTGCTGCTACACCTGGCTACATGTTTTCATTACTTGTGGCACCCCTCCACTCACCCCCCTCCACAGGCCCTTAGGGAGAGAGGCAGCATTCCTCCCTGTCCCAGTCAGCCAAGCTTCCCCTTCTCCAGGTGGTGACCATAGCAGTATACTCCTTCTTTGCCCTCTCCCTGGTTGGCCGCCAGTTTGTGGAGCCAGAGGCAGGGGCTGCCAAACCTCGGGAGCCTCTCAAGCCAGGCCAGCAGCCAGGGCCAGCGCTGGAAGACCTGGACGTGTATGTGCCTCTCACCACTCTGCTGCAGTTCTTCTTCTATGCTGGCTGGCTCAAGGTGGGCACTTCAGGTGGTCATGCCAGTGTGCTCAGTGCAGACATGAACCCAGGGCCCATCCCAACTTTGGGGACAGAGAATGGGGCAGAAAACACTGTCTTACAACCTGCAGGTGGCCGAACAGATCATCAACCCCTTTGGTGAGGATGATGATGACTTTGAAACCAACCAGCTCATTGACCGCAACTTGCAGGTAAGTAGTGGTCTAGGGACAGAGCCCTGGTGTGGAGGACAGGAGGGCCTGCGTGACTTGCTGCCACCCCAGGTGTCCCTGCTGCCTG